TGGGAGCCACTCCACCACCCCGGCTTTTCTTTGGGCCAGAGATTTTTTACAGTGAAAGCAATGTAAAAGGTGGCACTACTGGAGAGAGCATGCTTGATAGTGCCACTTCACTTGGGCAGTAGCCAGCCATGTCTAGGGCCTTGTTTTGAGGTCACAGATCCAGCTCTCCCACTGCAAGGCTGGACTTTGCTGCAGCCATTGTTTTTTTGCATGCTCTCCCAGCACCAGAAGGGTTTTGTTTGAGTTTTGGGGGGAAGAAATTTAATGGTAGCAGTTGCTGTGGAAACCTGTGTGCGCCCAGTGACTTGGATTTTCAAGAAGAGTGTGAGAACTAGAAATGGGAAAGACCCTGTTAGCTCCCACCCTTACCCAGCAATACAGGTTTGTCCCTAACCGGATGTTTTCCTGCTGCTTTGTCCCGTCTAATTACACTCCCAAATGCTGCATCTTCAGTCATTTCCCTGCAAAGCTCCTCCATGGTCTGGATCTCGCTCAGGATTTTTTTCTTCCTGCTATTTCACCCAAGCATCCGGTGTCTCTTTTTTTTAATTTTCCTCCCATTATTCTTAGTGTCGCCAAACTTCCCCCTCCCCAGCTGCACTCCTCTGTCCACAGCATGGCATGCCTTCCTGAAGCACAGGGAGGACTGGCAGCTGCTCTGTATTTTGTTCAGCCAGGCAGGGTGTTTGTTCCTGTGCGACCTCCTCCAAATCCCACTGCAAAGCTGTTTGTGTCGCTTTTTCAGCCCTGTCCAGCCTGTCTGATATAACGGTGTCACGCAAGGCAGGTTCCTGCTTGGAGAACATAACTTAGCAGATGCCCCCCCCCCCTTCCCAAGGTCACCAGGGACACATTAAATAATTTTGCTCTTAACTTTACGCATCCCTTCTCTATCTGCGTGCCTGCCACATAATGCCAATAGCCGATGCCGGCTCTCCTCTGCAATCTTGTCTGGGGCAAAGTTGCCATTTTTGTGGCGTTTGGTTGTTTCCTTTGTCTCCAAGTAGTGTTTGGGAGGCTTGTCCTTCTTGTGGTGGCATAGGCTTTCTTTCCCGATTCCCTGACGCTGGTCAGACTCTGGGGCAAGCACTCCTCGTGTTTCTGACCTACCTTCCCCTAGGTCCTTTAGTGCTTGTGCTCTGCCACCGC